CAGCCTTTCTAACACGTGCTAACACCTGAGATGCAGCAGAAGAAAAGTTCTTGCACCTCTCTTCACCCAGGAAGTATACAGAATAACAGAATACATGGTTCAAATTAATCATTCTGGGTTTAAAATACAAAATCCTTTTAAAAAATTATGTAATTTGTCCATACAGTTAATTCAGGTGTTTTGTGTTATCATATGATCAACCTATCTTAAATGGTCTAACATACCTCACTGGCTCTGCAGTGAGCTAGAAGTTTGACAAAGACTGTATTTTGCTATTATGACTCTGCCTGAAGGATCACAAAATAGTTTCGGTTAGAAGGGACCTTAAAGATCATCTAGTTCCAACCCCCCTGCATGGATGGGCAGGGACACCTCCCACTAGATCAGGTTACTCAAAGCCCCATCCAACCTCGCCTTGAACACTTTCAGGGAGGGGGCATCCACTACTTCTCTGGGAAACCCACGCCAGTGTCTTACCACCCTCACAGGAAAGAATTTCTTCCTAATGTCTGACCTAAATCTACTCTCTTCCAGTTTAAAGCCATTCCCCCTTGAGCTCTCACTACATGACCTTGTTAAAGGACCCTCCACAGCTTTCCTGTAGGCCTTTCAAGTACTGGAAAGCCACTATAAGGTCGCCCCAAGAGCCTTCTCTTCTCCAGGCTGAACAGCCCCAACTCTCTCAGCCTGTCTCACAATAGCGGTGCTCCAGCCTTGGATCACCTTTGTGCCCTTTCTCTAGATTTGCTTCAAGAGCTCCATGTCCTTCCTGAGTCGGATGCTCCAGAGCTGGACACAGTACTCCAGGTGGTCTTGTACTAAGTCACTTATCCAAACCTCCTACACTGTGTTTCTTAATAATAATATTCTAAAGGATGATGATCACTTCACCAGGACCCAGGGTTCAATAATAATTTTAATCCTAAAATTAGTACTCTAACAGCAGAAGCTTTTACCAAGTAGGGTTACTCTGTTAGTTCAATGAGCAATGCCAAGAACTTCAAGTTTTATAATTAGATCTTGCATGTTCTGTGCACCATTCATTTACAACCTCTTCAAAAAATCAGAAAAAAAAAAAAAAAAAAAAAAGGCAAAAGGCTTACAAATACAAAAAATCAGGAATATGAAGCCACCATTTTTTTTGCAGAAAACTGGAAGGAAAAAAAAAAGAAGAAAAAAAATTAAAAGGCTGTTTAAAACTCAACTATAACTTTCTAATATATTATTCCAAACTTCAGACACTGTAGTGCAATATGGAGAAGAAGGGAAACAGAAGACATTTACTTGAACACTGTTCAACATCATATCACAGAATTGTTCTGGTTGGAAAAGACCTTTAAGATCATTGAGTCCCACCATAACTTAGCTCCACCAACCATTAACCTAACTCTACCAGTTCCAGTGCTTAAAATATGCTCCTAAGCACCACATCTATATGTCTTCTAAACACCTCCAGGGATGGAGATTCAGCCACCTCCTTGGGCAGCCTATTCCACTGCTAGATTACCCTTGCAGTGAAGAAGTTTCTCCTAATAGCTAATCTAAAACTTCCTTGGCGTGACTTGAGCTCATTTCCAGCCTAAGATAAACATTCTAAAACAGAAAAACTGTTTTGTAAAATACTCAGTCTGGCATAGGAGTCAGCAGTCTTTCTGACTCTCCATCACATGCAAAAAAGTTCATACAAGAGATACATATGTGATCTGTATCACATATGTATTTTGGACAGCGAAAAGACAAAGAAGTAGGATAGTTCACAGACACCAAAAGACAGTGGCTTCCAAGCCAATCTTCAGACTAGCACTGCTGAATGAACATGTTTCTCTGATGAAACATTTCAGGTTATCAGCATGTTTCCTGCCCTGGTGATACAAGACTGAGCAGTGCTCCTCTTTAGAATAAATATCCATTGCGCACCTTGTCCATTTTTTTTTAAGTTTAATCACAGCTTTACTTCAGCTTAATTGCCTGTTATTTTAGGAACAGAACTGAGTATCTTATCAGGTATCAGTAACTTATTATAATCCACACTTCAGCCAAATTTCTCAACAAGTATGCATGAATATTGTTTTATAATTGTCACTGTACACTCTAGGTGGATACAAAAATAGGCTAAATATGTATCAGCAGACAAAGCAGTACAGAATAATCCAAGTCATTAACTCTCTGAAGAGAGAGGAAAAAAAAAAAAAAAAGAGGAAAAAAAAAAACAAAACACCTTCCTAAATAGTAATTTCTACAGAGGATCATGGATGTTATGTTTTATACCTAGGAGCACCTTCCACACCAGTATACGATACATGGATGGGAGAGGAAACCTTTGACTAAATGTGCAAAGCTTCTCAATATCTGTAGAGAAATAAAGAGAAGGGAAAAAAAAAAAAACATGGTAAATTTATATATAATTATAAATAGGTTTAAGCCTCTAATCTATCTAAGTATGACAAATCCTTAGCTGGAGATCAAAATCCCCACTTTCAACATATTATCAACAAATACTTCCATCACTTGAGAAGAGAACATGCCCTATAAACTGCAACCATTTTGAAAAAACACATATTAATTGTCTTCATTTCCAATAAAACTACCCTAGGTTTCACCAGAAATAAACTGTACCATTTTTATAGACATTTTGTAAATTGTGTTGCTATGTCAAAACAATTAAGGAATTTGTTAAAGGAACAACATTGATCTTCTGTTTTGCTAGAGATGTGACACTCCTCAGAGACCAACCACAGCTACAAAATCTTCATTGTTTTGAAGTTAGATTGAATTAACAGTATGATATATTTTCAGATGAAAATTGTTTTCATTAACTTTAAGCTTCTTGGGTATACAGAATGAGAGAAGAAAGAAAAGAAACAACCAAGCAGACATATCTTCAACAGTTTTAAAAATCAGATTTTAAAATCTTTGAAACTCAAAGGACTGCTTGTAAGAACTGAAAAATCAGTGGTAAAAAATGCAAAGCTTACATGAGTACTAAGCAAAGCAGCTAAACATTCTCTGTAATTCCCTCCCCAGCCCCAAATCACTGAAGTAATAGAGGAAACAGTGAAATCAACTTGCCCAATCGGTCATCTTTTAACAGAATTTCCAGTGACTTCTTCTCTTCAACTCCACGAAACCCCACTTTTTCATAATACACTGAGCGAAAGTTTCGCTGAGAGTCATCAGCCATCATGGATTCCCTTTGGAGAAACAATAATTCCCCTTAAGTGTTACAATAATGCATTCCTATTATGTTGAAGTAAAATACTATTACAGACTTGATAAAAGTTGACTGCTTACGTCTCTATAGTATCAAAAAACCCTACAGAGTATTAGCATTTTCCAAGGTTTTTTTTCATCCTATGCTAGCACAGACAATGATAAAAATAACTGGATCCAAACAAGGTCTAAAGATGCTCAATTTCCAAACAAAATACAGGGATTTTTAATTTATTTTTTAAAATTTTTATTCCTGGGGTATACTACAGGACTTTTTTCAAAAAGTTTTAAAAATAGAAGCAGGAGATACATTTCAGTCTTGACATGACAGTGACATGACACTTCAAAACCAATATAAAAAATACAAGTAAGAGTCTGATAAAATTTTGGCTACAGAAACTCAAGTACAACTGCTACCCAGAAAGTAAAATCATCAGGATTTATACTCGCCAAAAAAGGTAATCAGCAGCAAAGTCAAGCCAGTGGTGGCCTCAGCAGCACAGAGGTGACAGAAGAAAATAAGGCTAGGTATGTAGGTTTGTTCTTCAGTTGCAGCTTCAAATTAAATGTTCACATGGTTGCCATGTGCTGTATCAGCCACAGATTTGAGTTTGCTATACCAGTGCTAAAAAAAGTCTCCTACCTATACTGGGAAAAATGGTAAATTCAGTGAGTACTTTGTTTCAGAACAAATGTAATTGATATTTCAATTCAGTTCAGCCTTCTAAACATCAATTCTCTGTCTTTGGAGGCTTGCAAATACGAGAAAGTTCTGTTTTGTAACCAAAAGAACTAAAAAGAAACAGCTTTTAAACCTAGTGAAAGCAGGAAAATTTGGAGAAAAATAATTTGAGTAAGAAGCAATGGATGAATTATGCACTGAAAATCTTTTCCAGTTAAATTTTTCTTCTCCTTGCTGAACCAAAGCACACACCAGCAGCAAAGCAGATATTTATACATGTATATTTGCAGATATAAACAAAGGTCACTATTTTGCAAACAACGCCAATATTTAAACGTGTACATCCACTAGGCCTATTTGTGTTTAAAGCAAATTTTTAGCACTTCACATGATGAGGGCCAAGATCAGCCAGTAAAATATAAAGCAGCAAAGGACTGAGTTAATACTGTCTCAGCTTGGTCAACTACTATCTCAAAATCAGAGGAAAACATATTTATATTACTCTCGAGACTGTTATATTTATGTATTCCGCATTTAAGGGTGCAGTGATCAGAGCGTTTATGATTTAAAATGCAACCATAGCTAAAAGCAGGGTTATGATGATAGAGACATTCAACTACATCTAAAATTTTTGAAACCTGAATTTAACATGTGCTATTTAGAAAACATGTAGCCCGGGCCATTTGTGGAAGGCTGACAGTAGAGTCACAGCACAGAAACAGTTTGTATTATCTGAAAAATAACAGCATTAGCTATTAGAAAGGAATGCTATTTTAACAATTTTTAACTATCACTCTACTAGCAGCATTTTTAATTTACTCAGTGGGAAAAGCGAGGAGCATTGTTTCCTCCCTCTGGGTTTAAGCTGTATTTCCATGTTAGAGAAACAACCAACGTTCCAATCTTTACACTTATTATCCATAAACTGGGAAAAGCAAGGGGGCAAACAAACCCCTAGCCAGTCGTTTGGAAGCGCTCTGTATTAAAAAAAAAAAAAAAGAGCACAATTCACTCATCCTGCCTTCAAAGATGAACGCACCCGCAGGGTGCCCTTCCCACCAAGGTCCCGGCCTTTGGGGGGCTGCAACGCTGGCCTTTGTTACACGTTTCCGAAGGAAAAGACGGACACGTTTGGTGGCAGGATCACTGGCAGGATCACTGGCAGGACCACCGGCTCCCCGGCAATGACGACCACCCCTCTCCCCACACACCCCCGCCCGAGCCCCCCGTCCCACGGGCAAGGCAGGGAGAGGCCACCCCTCACCCACCAGCCATCCCTCACACCCTCCTGCCTCCCCACACACACACAGAGACGCGGCGGGCAGAGGGTCCCCACGGCAGCCCCCGCGGGGGACGGAGCGGGCCAGGCCGGGGGGCTTGCGGA